CAGTACTGGCAATGGAGCCAGCTTTAATCAATAAATGTTGGGTGGTTTTTTTCTTTTTTTAGATAAGCATTTCTTAAAGATTTACCAGCATACAACTAGCAATAAATAAATAGTTGGGGGTAGTGGTGGAATTCAAATATGTGAACAACCGGTTCTGTGTGTGTATGCTGCTTCCAGAAGTCCATTCTGGGCCTGGGCAACAAAAAATTAGCTACCGGTTCTGCCAAACTGGTGCGAACTGGCTGAATCCCACCACTGGTTGGGGGTCACAAAGCTTTGTTTAACTCATTTATACAGAGAGATGAAATTTCATCTAGGCCAAATGCTTTTGAGCAAGCTGCTTGGGACCATGTTTAGCAAAAATAGTGTTTGAAGCCGGAACTAAAATTAGAATTGATTTATGTGTCAGATGTGTCAGCCCTACAAGGTAGACCATATCACAGAATAGACACCACATAGGCCTAACACTACTTTAATTATAGTGGTTGTATTAACACAATCTTGCAAGTCTAAATGTGCTTCCCTTCCTCCCTCTTTTATTTTCATGTTAACTGGGAGAAAGTGCCTATTTGAGATATTTTCATAAATTTGTCTCTTTGTGTGGGCTTAAGGCACATTTATCTGATCATTGTCTTTGTAATAGATCTTCCCTCTCTCTGTCAAGGTCATCCTCTAAACTCTCTGCAATATGGTTAATATTCTCTGCTCCTAAATGGAGTACTCTTCTCTTTTCTCAGGATACCTGAAGGTGGTAGGTATAAAAAACATCAAAATAGCAACCATGACTGTTACCATCTTAAATGTTTAGACCGCCTCTCCCTCCATTGAAGGCCAATACTTGTGTCATATTAAAAAAATATAATTTGGTAACTACCTTTGGAATCTCTCAAGCCTCCATTCAAGTCTTTTGGAGCATTCACAAAGTTTTTGTGCTTCAGGCTTCAGGCCTCTTTTTTTGTACTCAGTTCTGACATAGACTAGAACAGAAGAGATTCCTAAACTTTTTGCCATTAGTCCTCCCTTTAGTGTAATCTTAATGTACATACCGCCCCTAAAACATACAAACAACAGAATGAACACAAATGAACACTAAAAACAATACAATAGAACTTTGAGAAAGCTGGATTTTTTTTGGTAATAATGCAACTACAGTACTGTAAAAGGTTCTTCACACTTCCCCTGGATGTTTATTGGTTTATTGTGATTACTTTATTGGTTTACCCCCCCCCCCGGTTTTTAACTCTTTATTTGCCCTTTATCATTTTGATCTGAGAGTTTTCATGTTCTGCTAAATTCAAAAGACTTTGGCCTTTTGCCTCAGATAGCAAATACTCATTAGAAAGCCCAGGCTTTGTTTAATCATTATCCAACCTTCTATTCAGAACAGCAGGTAAATATTCAGACAGAAAAAACACCAAATTCCTGTAAGATGTTTCATTTCCTAGTTACTCCTTAAAGCAGTTGTTAACCCTTTCAGTGTCAGCATATCTGTGGCTTATTGATCCCATTCTAACACCTGTAGCTGACAGTAGAATGTTGTATAATGCACTTCACCAATTTTCCAAATCACTTCAAAAGAACATAAGCCAAGATATGAACAAAGCAGGAGATCACTTCCCTATGAACTGTGGTTAAAGTTGAAGGTTCCTAGTGAATTACATTGTTTCACTCTGAAACAGGAATCTAGAGTTCTAAGGAATCTAGTACTAGAATAATACTAGGATAATGATACCAATTTAGCAGAGATCCCATTTAGTCTAGTAGTATAATAGTATTACTGTACAATAATAGTTAGAATGCAGGCCTAGAAAGCAAGAGACCATGAATTCTAGGCCTTCCATGGACATGAAAGACGGCTGGGGGACTTTGGACCAGGTTGTCCTCTTTCACTCCCAGCCTCAGAAGATTGTTATTGTGGGGAAAATAGGGGGCCAGAATATTCAGAAGGTTTGCTGCCTTAAGTTATATACATTATATACATTAACAAGGTGGGATAAAAATCTAAACATCACCATAGTCTTCTAATCATGGTTAGTTTACAACTTGTGTCTGTCATATTAAAGGCCTTTCCAGACTTATGCCAACAAAGGGGGGACATTACTTCTTTATATTTCTTTTCTTTTTCTTTACTATAGTCTTATGTTTAATTTCTCTTTTTCTTTCTATATTATTCTTTTTCCACTTTTTTGCACTTTCTATTTTTTTTTATTCTTGCATTTTTTTTATAATTTGCATTCATTTTTAATGTTAACTGTAATATTTAATACAACTATTATAAAAAATAGAATGAAGCCTTTTGTTATAATTCAATAAAACATTAAATACAGTTATAAGAAGACATTTTCACTTCTAGCAGAGAATAACAATAGACAACATCTAGCCACAATAATTAATAGATAGCAGAAATGAGGAAGCATAAAATTAATTGTAAAGTAGTGTGAGTGTTCTATTTCTAGACATCTGTTCCTGAAAGGTGTAAGATCATATTCTTTATTTTCCTAGTTAACTTTTAAAAGAAATAGGAAAATATGAAGACTCTCTTGAATCAGTTTTGACTCCTGATGAATACATGCAAGTGAGTTTCACTGCCTCCTCCTCTTTTTTTTTTTTTTTTACACTTTGGAACAAATCCTTTAGTTTTGGGACTTACTGTACTTATGGTCTTTTATTTTGGTATTAATCATCCCCAACCAAACATAACTTTGGGGAACCAACCAAAGTTCAATTAGTGCTGCCATTTGGTATAAGTTTGCTAAATATTAGGTGAATACTCATATTGATCATTTGGATTTACCAAAACTTATAAGCCATTTTGTTTCATGGTTAGGAGGGGATTGAGGAATAATATATGTAATAAGAGTCTGAGAGGGTTGGCCTTTGATGTGGGTCAGTTGAATTTGGGTGAAGCTGAAATTTAATGTACTAAGTAACTCTTTGAGTTTATTTAGGGACATAAGAAATACAAGGTTGACTCATCTTAATTTAGATATATTAACATATGTTGAAAGAACAGCAGAAGCATTAACTTCTATTTTGTGGGATAATTTCAAGAGTAAGTTTCAAGTTGGGTAGGGACAAATAGACGTTTGCTCTGAGGCTAGATTGTGGCAGAAGCCTGTTTCACCATTCTAAGCTATTAAGAGACATTTCAACTGTCACTGATATTAGCTGAAGTTTAAAACATGTAGCAGGAATGGTGGGTATATAAAATGGTCCCAAACTACCTTTTCATAACCATTAAATCTATATCCTCGGGCTTAGAGTGTCAGGATGAACTATAAACACACTGCTAATGTTGACTATAAACTAGACGTAACCTTTAAAATGGTAGTTCAGCCCCAAGCCAATTTGCCCATCATCTCTGTAATCTGTCTGGCTCACCTATTTCCTCTTTGTTGTTTCTTATCCAAACAAAACACCCTCAACTCATTTCAATCTTTCTTCATACTATTATTAATGCATTTGTTTTAACAGTATATACTATTATTATAGTTGGTTGCACAGTCAGCCAAATGTTTAGATTGGATTTGGCATTTTATCCACCTAGGAGTCCTTCTCAAGGACCTGGGATGGGGAGATTGTTGTTTGATGGTGTTAAAAATATTATCACAGGATGTAAGCCATTCCAAATAAAGCTGCCTTTTGCAATTGACTGATGGTAATTTTTGTTAATGTAGATAGCGCTCTACATATTTTGGGATTGCATAAAAGGTGCCTATTATTAGTAGTACTATCTTTCCTTTCTTTTGCCAGAGTTGTTCTACTTCTGTCTCCAGGTCTTTATAGTTTGTGATTTTCTCCAGTTCTTTCTCTTCGATTCTGCTCTCTTCAGGTACTACAGCATTCTCTATCCAGATTTTGTCTTTCTTATCAACAATTGCTAAGTCTGGAGTGTTATGTGGCAGATGCTTATTATTATTGCTGTGATATTAATAAATAAAAATTATAAACTTAGTTTGCTGGATTTAAAAGATGAGGAAACTTAAATCCCAACTATCTGCAAGATACTTTAAGTTTTGCAATAGATTAAACAAAAATGTTGTCAGTGGTGCTTGTCTTATTATGCAAAATATTTTATAACTGCATTGAAAGCCAGGACTGTCAATGACACAGTCCACACCACTGTTCATGTGAATAGCATTTGCTTAAATATACCATGGGCCAGGACAAAAGAAGTGCACACTTCAAATGGATTCAAGAACTTGGATATCCCTAAACTGAATGACCTCTTTGATTAGCATACCCAAACCATGATGTACAGCTTTTGAAAGCCAATGCTCAGATTTCAAAAACTTTTTAATATGTGACATTAGGAAATGGTAACTTGAGAAATACTAGTCTAGAGTCTCTTGAACCCATAAAAATAATTGCATAATTTCTTGGATTCTGTCCAAAACATTGTTGTACCTCATCCAGTGTCACTTTCTATGAGATGGGTGATAATTTGATTAATGAATGGATGAATAAATATCCGTAACATTTTTTATTTGAAGGGCTATAGATACAGCATTATCGGGCAGACTTTATACTCGAGGATTCCAAATCATGATGAAATGCAAAACTATTATTTCTACATTTTCTAGATTGACTTAATAATTATGTGTGTTGATGCATCCTAGTTATAAAACTTGGAGGAAGTTTAAAAGATTGCACTGTGTGGATTCCACTAATGAGAGTTAGCAATATAGCAGAATGGATTTACGAACTGAATTTGCATTCTCACTACAGTTTAAATAATATTTGTCTTGGTCTTGAACAGTGATACAAACCATAAGCAATTTGTAAATATTGCAGGAAAAATATTTTAGCATATTTAGAAAAATATTTTAAAAGTGGAATAAATAATAGTAAAGTATATCTCTCTGTGTGTGTGTGTGTGTTTATGTGCATGTATGTGTGTGTATGTGTATGCTTTTGTGCATGTATTAGATTCGTCTAATGAGGCATTTATGTTTACTCCTTTTTATATAATCTTAAAGTCCATCTTTCAACCTTTTCAGGATGCTCAAGAAACACATGGGGTAGCTGTACCAACCCCATCTGTTCCAGAAAGCTTTGAGGACAAGCTACCTGCAGGTAAGATGATAACTGGGATTGCATGCTCACCATATCTATTATCTGCATAGATAATAGTTTAGCTATAGTTCATTATCTCATTTGACAGTGAAATCATAAATTTTATTTCAGTATATCATCTTGCAGTCTTAGCACAATGTTGTTTTTTGTGGTGTTCCTGAACTTTTGTGAAACTGCATAATCTATCATTCACATTTAGAAACTTAGGGCTGAAACAAAAGGCAACATGTTTAGATGTTGACCACATTTTATGGAAAGGGTCTTTAGGTGGTGTAAGTAGGGAATCCATCTACCAGGAGAACAGAAAGATCATTTTTTATTTCAGGATCCATTATTCCTATTAAAGTAATTACCTTTAAATAGTGACTATGACATAGCATTAAAAAAAAAGTAATTGTTTTTAGCTTACTGTTGTTTTTGGCTCGGCACTGCTTTTATTGCTATTATTTATGCTGTTTTATTGTAGTTTTAGAGGATACCGTGGATGTTTTAAATAGTTCTTTTACAGTTTATACAGTGGCATGATGGAAAATATTGAACACCTGGTTCCATTGCCACCTCTGTCCAGCTAGCCACAGAGTAGTGTGCTCGGCATGTGTCTCAGTTGCGTTCCCAAGTGGCTTGCAAAATTCCAGAAAATTTAACAGTTTTTGTGAGCTTGCTCCAGAACATTACTGTAAGCCACCAAGAATGACAGAATTTTGCCACTAGATCTTACCTGGGTATTTTAAATTGTTCTTTTATAGTCTATATAGTAGTATGATGGTAAATGTTCTTTATATTATTTATCTTCTTTATGTTTTTTTCTTTTTTCTATTTTTTCAATTTTTTTTACTGTTTACACTTTTTTATTATTTATAATATAAAATATAAAAATACAAAACCAAATAGTAGGAAAAATAAGGGACAAAAGAAAAAAAAGCATTGACTTCGACTCCCTCTGGTGCAGAAGAAGAAAACAGTAACATCAAACTTCAACTTTTTACTTTTATATACTAGTATAAATTAGCCATTTCTATAACAACACATCTATCTAATCAGTAAAACCCAAAATCAACGTTTCATTTTTTTTCCACCTCAAGCACAAAGTCCAGAAGCAGTTTCCAAACAGAAACAAAAGTACTTGTGTTTTTTTCTTTGATCAAAGCAGACAGTTTAGCCATCTCTGCTAAATCCTTCAACTTTTGCAGCCATTTGTCCATTGTGGGGATTGAAATGTCCTTCCATTTTTGTCCATAAAGTAGTCTTGCGCTGGTAAATGTTGAAGTAGTTCCACTGCTGCCTCTGCCCTGGAGTGGAACTTGGGCTGGCAGTGGGATGTCTGATGTGCAGGAGCAGATGGAAGGATCTTCAGCTAGGAGAGCTGGGAGCCTGGAGCTGGCGGGGGGATGGACACTTGAGGGGGGGAGTGTAGAGAAGTCAATACATTGATGTATTGATGATGGTGGTGACAGGCATGGGATGTTTTGATGGGAGACAGAGTGAGGTCCATTTGTGGGGAAGGCCTTCCTTGTGTTTAGTACTGATGATGGGTTCTAATCATCTGTGGTCCAGCCCAGGCCTTGTCAGCAGACTTCCAGAAGCCTGGATTTTTTTATTGTTGCTGCTTAATACCAGATTGGTTAATAATAAAGCTCCCTTAGTTGTGATCTTATCAGGGAGGAGAAGGACGCCTGGCATATGTTACTGAAACCTGGCTGAGGCCTTAAGGAGGAGGGCTTCCCCTTTCTGAAAAGTGGGTTCAGGGTATGGTACCAGCTCAAATCTCAAGGCAGGGGAAGGGGGAAAGTAGTTGTCATCAAGGAATTTCTGTTGGCCTTGGAGTTGCTACCCCCCAGGTTGCCAGCTGTTAGATCCCTTTTTTTTTTTAAAGATAGGCTTGTGGGATCATTGGGATTGTTGTTGCTGTGACAACCTCCCTGTTGCAGAGCAATCTCCCTACATAAATAATCTGTATATTTAATTACTATATGATATTATCTGCTTAAAAGAAGAACTGATTGGGTTTGAACCAAGAAGGATCTGCATATCAGTGTGTCAACTCATATCCTAGCATTTGGCAGTTTTAATCAATCAAGAAGAATCTTACTACCTGTATTCCATAACTGATAATAGCTAACAACCTTCCAGATTTTTTTAAATTCTGAATTTAAATTTAGTGACAAATATGCAGCACTACAATGCTCAGTTAAACTTGGCATACCTATTGCCCAGAATGCCAGTAATGTAAAGAAATGTCTTTAACCATGAAGCTTACAAAACTGCTTCTCTATCATATGTAATATGTGTTTGTCTGCTTGATTGATTGATTACATGCCATTAAGTCAGTGTCAGCTCTTAATTACCACAAAGTTTCTTGGTCACATTTTCTTTAACTGGGGTCTTTAGTGCAGAGCCATTATCCATGCATTTGGGAAATGAGTTTTGTTCAACAAATCTATAGGGCACAAGGGAAGTCACTTAGAAGACAATCAATGTTTTTAATGTGCTATCTAATAACTTTTCAATGCCCCCACATTCTGTCATCATGTTTTCTTTTTTAAATAAACTCTCACTATTTATTTTTAAAATTATGAGCGCAGTTCTAGTTTTCTGGTCTTCCCATTCTAAGGCCTTTCAAAACATTCATCACAAATGGAAAATATTTAGCATTGCTAACAGGAAGGCTTGGCACAGAATTGAGGGAGTTATCATTAACTTAAATCAGCCTCTTAAAAGCAAGTTCAGCTAGTTTCTGTAGTCAGGTAGCCATGACAATTAGCAAACTTTTTAAAATATCTATAGTTACTTCCTTGTTAATGAGCAGACCTACTTTGCTACAGTCCCCATTTGCTGTGAATCAGAAAAAATGTATTTTGTTTGCTCTTCTTTAGAGCAACTCCTTATAGGCTTACCAGCCTCTAAAGCTCCAGTATCTGTGCCATCTCTGGAAGGAACATTTCCTGGATACCAAATAAGTGGGGTGCTGTGTGTAGTTTCATATAACAGCTACTATAAATAATTATGGTATTCCTTTTAAAGATTTTTTTGTAGATCATTCAAGCAGCACTAAATGTGCCATTTACAATGGTAGACTAATATATCAGACTTGGTTTGCCATTGAACTGAACTGATCTGAGTTGATTTGGGGCTATGGTGTACACCCTTTCTGTTGCCAGGATCCTTTTCTTATTTTTCTCTCTCCTCAAAACTAATGATAACTTATTAACTCAGGAAGATCTCTAGAATAGGGGTCTCCAACCGTCGGTCCATGGACCAGCACCAGGCCATGGCATGCCAGAAACCTGTCCGTGCAAACAAGCAAAGCCCCATCCGTGGATGCAGACAGTACATAAAACCACACCCCCTCCGGTCTGCGGAAAAACCTCTCTCCACAGAACCGGTCTCTGGTGCCCAAAAGGTTGGGGACCTCTGCTCTAGAAGGAACCAAATCCTTTTATCATTGGCAAATTAGTTTGCTTCTCTCTCTCTCTCTCTCTCTCCCCCCACCCCCCCATCTGTGCAGGACTTGGAATGTGTAAAATATATAGAAGAGCACACATTGTTAACACTTATTATTTAGAATTTTATATTACAACAAGGAATTAATTTTAATTAAATGATTTAAACCAGGTTCTCTTAATAGCATAACATCTGTAGGCTGTTAATCTTTGTTTAGTGTTTCCAGCACTACAAATATAGACTGTCACTCTGACAGATTCAGATATTAGTAATAAAAAACATACAGCCCCATAGAGAGAATGCTATATCTCGGGGGGGGGAATGCTGTTCCAGAGAACAGGAACCAGTTCAGAGAAGATACACTTCCTCAGCCCCATAAGAGGGCAATGTTTAATAGAAGGAACCAGGAGCATACCCATTCTGCTAGAACGAACCGGATAGGCAGAAACAGTTGGAGATAGATGATTCTTCAGTTATCTAGATCCTATGCCATAAATGGCTTTATAAGTAATAACCAATACCTTGAATTGCACCCAAAAGTCAACTGGCAACAAATGCAACATGTTTAGTATTGGTGACACATCAGCATACTGAAAGGCTGATATTACTGCTTGTGCTGCTGCAATTTGTACTAGTAGTTTCCAGGGTCAGCTCCATATAGAACACATTGCAATAATTCAGATATGGAGACCCCAAGTTCTCCTTAGACCCATCCTACTAAGTCCCCACCTCAATGTCCTTCCTTTTAGTACTGTTCTTCTATTAAAATATAAATTGGGTAGATGTCTTCTATTACCACACTTTGAGTAATTCTTCTATTACTTAATCATTATAGGCTATTAAAGCACAGTTTAGGCGGAGAACTGAACATTTCTCTCATCTATACTATTATTCCTGTCATTAAGAAACCCCATCAATGAAATTATCCTCCTGTCCCATACAAAAATATCTGGGAAGAAGTGATTTTGAGAGGGGAAAATGTGTTTCCATGTCATCTCTCTGCTTTATATGAATTCTACATTGTGTTGCATTAATATATGTGGTGTATCCTTTAAAGCCAAGTTGAGCATGATGTTAAATTTCACATACATGTACAGTATATAAATAACATATATGCATTTTTGGGTATTTAATAAAAATAATCTGGTAGGGAAAAGTGTGGCTATTATAAACCCATCAGAAGCAGGGGAGAAACTTAAACGTTCCTTGCTGCTGCTATCCAGAATAAATTGTGTCATCTGTTGGGCTTCTTATCTGTGATCAGGAACTAATGCTTCCCATGGGAGCAGAAGCTCTTTGCTTTTAGCTTGGCTCTTATGCAATGGCAGCTTCCCCAACATAGGTTTCTACAGATGTTTAGGGATGCAGCTCAAGGTTCACCACCCAGAATGTCCCCTGGTCATGTTGGGATTTTGCCTTCTACATTTTGCAATCCTGATTCATTTGGGGAAAGGCAGGTTGCAGAAGTCTGCTCTCCAACATCAAAAGAAACAGATTCAATTGCAAATTACAGATATGCCTCCTATTACAGGAATAGACCTTCTTATTTTTCAATAGAGATTCCAGTCACCATATGAGCACACACTGCTCTCTTAAGTGTGATAGAAAAAATTGATGCAGTTGCTGCAGTAGTGATTATGTCCTTTCATAATTTGCCTCTTCTGTTTATCTTAGGGCCCAAGTGAGTTTCCCCTAAAGAGCTTCTCACTTGTTAAATTAGAAAAAGCATCAGTGACTGAAACTTCCATTTCCATTATAAAAACATCAGTTAACTTGCTGTAGCATCTTAAAGAAAATAACTTGAAAACCAAAAATGGAAGGCATTATAAATGTATTTGTACATGTCTGAGTTTTTTCTGAGTTTTCCTGACCCGGGGGGTGGGGTGGGGAGGGGAGGCTATTTTCTCTGATTCCTTTCAAGACCTTCTGAATATATTTCTCAATATGGTCCTACAGAAAATATTCATTTAAATAAGTTTAGTCTTTACAGTGTAAAATGAGAGCAATATAACTATTTATATATGTATGTATTGTTTTCTTCCTAGGTTCTCAAATTAATGGCAGTTATAGAAAGTACAATTCAGTAATTGACCTGAGGACAAAGGCATTTGGGGAGGATTATTTGGATGATGATTACATTCCACCACCACCCTCAATTCCTCCTCCTTCACCACCACCACTTTCAGTTGACCTACCACCAGTTTCATCTTCTGTGGTAGTTCCACCTCCACCTTCTATGGTAGCTCCACCTCCACCACCAATGACTCCTCCACCTCCACCACCAATGGCTCCTCCACCTCCACCTCCACCAGCATTGCCAGCTCCATGGCTTTCATCAATGGCTGCACCTTCATTTCCATATTCCGATGTCTCTTCTCCCAGTACTCCAACCCCACCAGACTTCATTCCTCCTCCTCCTCCCCCTCCTCTTCCTGATTTTATGGATACTGCAATTTCTTCTATTCCTCCAATTTCACTACCAGTTCATACACAACTCTTCTCAAATGGTGTGTCCAAATGGAAATCAGAGACTGTTCTAAATATTCATAATCCTTCTCTCAATTCTCCAGCAACACCTATTCACAAGGAGTTACCACAGTTACCACAGTCCATCCCAGACCCTCATCTCACTTTTCCCAAATCATTAAAAGTACCCCCTCCTACTCCCATGAGAACATCATCTATTTTCTCAGGAGATAAAGACTCCAGCCCCAAAAAACATTTTCCTAGAATGACACCTGACAGTCACAGTCCTCTGTTACCTACTGTACAATCTGCTACCATAGTTCACTCAGAGGCAGAAGCTAGAGCCAAAACTAATACGGAAAAGCATTCTGCTTTGGTCACAGAATCTAAAACATCAGATTCCAAAATCTGCCCACTGAAGAAACAACAGAATTTATCCTGGTCCACTGAAGAAAGAACAGAATTTTCATCTCCAGGTTATTCATCGTCTGATGATGATATTTGGAACGAACGTTGCAATTTAGATAAGTTGAAGAATGAACTGTCAACCCTGCTGTTCTCAACTTGCAGAAAGGAAGACCGACCAACTGAAAAAATTACATTTTCCAAATCTAAAGGTACAGATATTGATATCAACAATGTTACTACAGATGAATTCAAACTAGTTAAGCATGATGTGAAAAAAACACGCTTATCACAAAGAGCAGAGAATGAAAAGAAAGAAAAGAAATGTGCCAATAATTCTCCAACTAAATCTTTCACCAAAGATACTTTCTCAACTGCAGACAAATTTCCGACCACTCAAGGAAATTGTGCTATGAAACTGAAAGAGGAGTTAGAAGCTTTATTGTCTCCAGTCAAGGAAGGAGGCCCACCTTTCGCAATTGCAAACCTGAGACATAATCCAGAAACAAGGAAACAAGTTACTCTTCAGTTTTCTGGCAATAAGGTCAATAATGGTGAGTTGAAATTTCCAACAGCAAAACTGGAAGGTACAGAGAAAGAACCAACGATGCCTAGTGCTTCTGTCCACACATGCAGGCCACCAGTTTCATCTTTAAAATCCAAAAGTGAACATTTGGCTCCAGCTACATCTTCCTCTTCTAATTCTGAGACTACATTACCCACACAAACTGCTTCTCCCAGCAAGGATCTCTCTCTGCAATATAAGACTCATAGGTCGAAATCGGACTCTGTTGACAGCCTTGTCTCTGCAACTTCTTCCCAAGCTACATATGATGGACTCAGCAGTTCAAGTATTAATGAAAATCAAAGAGATTTTACTGGGAACATGCCCTCAACAACAGCCAAGCTATCTAGGAATGCAGAGCAACTGAGCAGTGATGTTCTGTTTCATCCTGTTACAGGAGAAAAAGTAGAAAAAGGCTCTCCAATGGCTCTTCTTCTGGCTGCACAACTGCGGGCCAATAGAGGCAAGTGTTCTGCTTCTGCCTCTCAAAATAATAGTTCTTTATTGGAGAAACCTCAGCTCAAGTCGAACAATAGCAGCCAATCAGAGAATGGGTTATCCACCATTTATTATAGCAATTCAAAGCCCAATACTATTAAGGTTGTCCCAAAGTCCCCACACAAGGACTTATTGGCAGAATCTGAAAGTAAGCAGTGTAATGGATCAAGTGCATCCAACAACAATATCAGGAGTTTGTCAGGACAAAGTGAAAATATGCCACAAATATTCTCCGATGCTACTGAACAATGCAGGAGTACACTGAAATTCAGGGAGACAAACGAGTCTCAAAGTCTTTCATCAAATAAGTGTGATTCTCCTATTTTGCTTCAAAACTCAAACTCCAGTCACTTGAAGCAGCAAGATCCACTGAGCAGATCCGAAATTCCTTTTCATTTTTTTCCTCCACCCCAAAACCATACAGTTAAAAATGATGAGGTGGAAGGATTCAATTATGAAATAATTCCTCCACCACCAGAGTTCAGCAATGATACCTCTGAAATCCCAAAGTTGTCTTCAGATACTCAGATCTCAGATATGCAACTTAACTTCAACAACTCAAGCTATAACTATGGCAACAGTTATTCTCTGACATCAGCAGTCCAAAGGCCAAGTGACTATAGTCACCATTATCCAGGTGACAGCTATACCTCCAATTACCTTAGTAGCTGTTCCAATAGCCGCCCCCTAATTAAAAAACGCCTTTATCTATCAGAGACTGATGACTTATATAGTAGGACAGCTATGCCTGCTCGCAATATGAGCATACCTAACTCCTATGGCTACAACTCTTCAGCTGTGGAAGGTATTCATCGAGCAAATTATTCTCACAGAAATAATCCCAATAGTACACAGGGCCGAAGGGTATCCTTGGAAATACCTGGAAAAATTATAACTTACAATACTTCTGTCAATGATGTCCAGTATAAAAGCCAAAATGGAGACTATTCCACCAACGCAATCGCCTCTGGCAGGTATGTTTCATTTGTCATAAATATAGGAGTTGAAATGTGAGTAAGGGACTGCATGGAAATATTTTGGCCAGAAGTCAGGTTGACATTCTGCAATTTCTTTTGTCCACTATAACATAAGTGATCTGTTCCTCCCCCCCCCACTTTTTAGAGTTACAGTGCTCTAGGTAGAGTATTCTCCATTTAAAATCAAGTTATTATTCAGTCAGGTGACCAGATGGCTACCACTTCAGCCAAATGTCTGCTTCTTCCACACTTGTTCCTACAGCTAAGATCACTGTCAAAATCACCAAGATCTTAGTTGAGAGGGAAATACTGTATTGCTAGTGGACGGTTGTTTGACCTGTGCAGCTTTAGAGAGAAGACATGGGTACTAAGAAACTTAGGTAATTCAAAAGAATTATTGTCTCCAGGTAAACTAGCATTTTATTTATTTTTGAAATAGCAGTAAAAATATTCAAACCATCTACATTATTATTTATATTGGTAAGATAACTCTATTAGCATTTAGCTGAGAAAGCCATTATGCCAAAAATATCTGTATTAAATATTTCATATTCACTGTTTGTGTTTCTGATAATCAAAGGCTATCTCACTAACAAAATCTCAGATATTGATTTGAAAAGTTTCTTTATTTTTTTTCCTTGTACTTAGAATGAAATATATCGCTTAATTGAATCACTGGTCTTAATTTATTGCTAAGAATTTCTACTGGACTGATGATATTTTTTATATTTCTTCTGTTTAGGTCTTGCCACGTTAGTCCACAATATGGAACTCTAAATACATTCACTGTTAGGCCTGGAACAAGACAACCCATTTCTTACTCCTACCAAGGCCTTCATTAAGACCTTTCTGTCAGAAGCTCTGCATCTGCACACAGCTTCGGCCAAGATTGTTATTACTCAACCTGGACCTCATTCTTTTTTCTGTATTATAACTCACTTTTGTATAGCTCTGTAGGGCCTGTATCTTTTTGTAAACATTAGTTTTAAGTTATTCAGACAGTGTTATGAATGAGTCTTATCAGTCTCTCTTGCTAACAAGCTTATTTTGCATTATGTAAGAGTAGCTATGTACATGTCTTCATTCTAGGGCACATTTGACTAATAGCTGTCTGCTTTGAATAGGACATGGAGTAAATTTTACCTTACTAGCACCATTTTTTGAACATGCATTGGTCATTCAGGAAAAGCAACCAAAGAAGGAAGGCAGCAACAGAAAGGCGAAGCAGAGAATCCAAGATTCAAGATGAAGAAAGCAGTTCAACAACCCATTTATGGCTACTCTAGATCAGCCATGCATGGCCTAGAAAGGCAGCTGTTAGCTAGAAGAAAATGACAGATTTATGGAAAAGGAAAGGAAGAGTTCAGATGAAAAAAGGATGAGCAAGACAGAAGGATTAGAAGTTTGTGATACTTGTAATTTCAATAGTGCTACCACCAAAGAAAATTGACAGGAGCTTTTCTTAGCAGGGCATCTCTAATTTTTTGTTCACCACATCATTGCTAGAATCCTTAATAGAAAAAAAAACATGAGAAACCCAGGGGCCCCTTGTCAAATATTCTTCTATCTTGCAAAATATTTGAGACTGAACTTCTTCAAAATTATCTTTTTTTAGACAATCATTTAGGTTTTGAATCTACAACTGCAGATAAAAATGATAGCCATTCTAAAGACACAAATATAATTCTTGTAGTCCCCTTTAAAAACCCACAGCTGAATTTAATTTGGGAAGCATTTTTAATTAAAAACTATAAGATTTAAATGAACCAAACAACATATCTCTACCAGGCTAACCTGGCAATTCGTCACCATTGTTGCATTGTTATAGTTTTCAAGAATGCAATCATTCTGTCTACAGCTTTGTTTTTCTTGTGGTTTCTTATTTTGGTTTAGGAGTTAAAAAATATTTAATGGATATGAAAGGTGTTTAGTAGAACAGGTGCTGGCATCTATACAAATTAAACCCAATTATATCTCTGTACTTGAAGGAAAAGCAGCGCATGCTTAAAGGACACCTCTGAAAATGTCAACTATATCTGTTTGGAGGTAAATCTTATTCAATGGGATTTACTTTTAAATGCCTAGAGGAAAACAGCTCTAATCCATTTTGGCTTGTACTGGTTATACATGATAGTTACAGGTAGTCTTTGAATTACAACCATTTGTTTAGCAATTATTCAAAATTATAGCACTGAAAAAGTGATTTACAAATGGTCCTCACACTTATGACTGTTGCAACATCCCTGTGGTCATGTAATCAAAATTCACAGGCTTGACCTCTGGCATGCATTTGCAATGTTTGCAGCATCCCAGGGTCATGTGATTGACATTTGCAACCTCCCCAGCTGGCTTCTGACAAGCAAATCAATGGGGAAAGCCGATTTGGTTAATGGTCATGTGGTTCAACTTAACAACTTCAACGATTCACTTAACAGCCATGGCAAAAAGATCATAAAATTGGGCACAGCTCACTTAACAGCCACTTTGCTTAACCATAGAAATATTGGTTCCAGTTGTGGTTGCAATTAATGGATTACCTGTAATCCAATGGTCTATGGATTTAGTTCTAGTTTTTAGAACTGTGAGGGAAAATGGCTGCCTCAATTTATTTCTGTAGATTTTGCAAAGAAGTAAGAATATAGCCATTATTTTTATATACCTAATAGATAACTTACCTTAAATTATAAAGCATGTATGTTCGTGTTGATTTTGTCTGGCAGCAGATTTATTTTTAGAGAAATATTTTGGCAGAATTATGGTTTTAGTTCAGGTTCAGTTTAAGTCACTTATTTAGGGAGATGGTTATCTGTCCCCTAGGGATGCTTCCCATGTAAAACTATCAAATGTTTCCAAACGTTTAAGTAAAACTGGTTTAAACAGGTGTAGTTTGCAAGCCATCTTCTATATTGTATTTATTCACTCTATTTACACATAATTTCTTGCACGAATATATGCCTGTGAATCTAGAGTAAAGCCACCTCTATCAGTAGGCAGAGTGAATCTTATTTTAAACAGAAGATGGGTGGGATGAAAGGAAGTAAATTGTTAGTTATTTATGGGGGCTTTCCTTTGTTTTTTCTGTTCTGTATTTTTACTGCCACGATGGAAAGATTACTTCTGTGATTTTTCTGCCTCATGTGTCAGAGGAACTATCCTGCCATGATTAAGTATCCATTTGTTGCTCTGCTTCAGGCAAGGAGCAACTTGGACTAGCTCTGATTTTTAACCTTTGATACTAAGATAAACTGATTTTTTAAAAAACGTACTAACCCTCTTGTCTATAAGATCTATTCTAGGAGCTCCTCACCTGCAGTAGAAGCAGGAGTCTGCCTGCATGTCCAATAGTGAGAGATTCGGTTTAGGAACCTCCCCATGCGTGCATTACGTTTCAAAATGGAGACATTGGATATTTTCAATATGCAATTAATATAGCATTTTCAATTATACAGCATAAATATTACATAAAATTGTCTTAGCTTTTACTTATATTGATCACTCATATGATTAGCTTTGACCAAACTCTGGTTTCAAAGAAATAATAATTTTGATTGATTATAGTTCATTTTGGTAGGAGACATGAAAGCCATTTAGAAAAACAATAAACAACTTTGTATTCTCAGCATCTATTCAAAGTTGTGAAACTCATTTCAGACTGCATGTTTGTAAAGAATCATTGAGATATGCCACAACATCAGCCACTCCAATTGCTGAACATTCATTGTGTATTTTAAAGCCTATCATTATTTCTGCACTGTTTTTTAAAGCCATCTGGTCTTCTCAAATGCTTTCTGCATGATCTTTTATACGCTGGTGAGTCTGGAGTCAAAGAGTGGTCATTCAGTCAATAATTGTTCATTCTAAGCTAGTTAATATCTGACTGTACAGAATGTCAGTCAAAGATCCTTCTGTCTCAAATTGGTTATCTGCTAAGTGTACTGATTCAGGGCTTCCAATGCTTAATTAACTAACAAACAGCCTTTTCCCTTTCATTTCTAGAAGAAGCAGAAGTTTCTAATTTTTCTTGCTCCACAATAAAAACAGTCTGTGTATTTGTCCTCATGAATTTGTATAAATTTATCTGCTTGTTTTTGTCTGGTTTTGTTTTGCTTTATTTTAAATGATTTAAAATAAATGAGGTTGTTTGAAGGCAAGTTCAAATTCTAATACAATAATATTGCTGTAGTTTTTAAATACATTTTATTGCTTTTAAAATAATGACAGAAAAAGAAAAAAAGTAAACAAAGCACAAAAATACGTTATCAAAAAATGCACAAGTGCTTGTAAAATAAGGGGAAAAAATACAACAGAAAAAATAATGTATAGAGTATATGTTATTAGAACAATAAAGTTACAATTCTATATAGAATTATCAAATGCAAACATGAAGTGTCTATATGATTGTTTTTCAAACTACTGTACTTTGTATAAATTGCTCCCATATTTCCTTACATGTATCCATACAAGAGGCACACTGGCTCAGTGGCTTAAAAGACACAGGAGAAGGTCTAAACTCCTGTGGTTTGAGTCCCACCACTGCACAATAGAATGAGCTCCCATCACTTACCCCAGTTGTCTGAAAGCATGTAAATAATAATAATAATAATAATAATAATAATAATAATAATAATAATAATAATAATAATAATAATAATAATAATAATAATAATAATAATAATAATAAAGTTGGAAGGGACCTCGGAGGTCATCTAGTCCAACCTCCTGCTGAAGCAGGAAACCCTATACCATTTCGGACAAATGGCTGTCCAGTTTCTTCTTAAAAACTTCCAGTGTTGGTGCATTCACCGCTTCTGGAGGCAGGTTGTTCCACTGGTTAATTGTTCTAACTGTCAGGAAGTTTCTCCTTAGTTACAGGTTGCTTCTCTCCTTGGTTAGTTTCCACCCGTTGCTTCTTGTCCTGCCTTCAGGTGCTTTGGAGAATAGCCTGACTCCCTCTTCTTTGTGACAGCCCCTGAGATATTGGAACACTGCTATCATGTCCCCCCTAGTCCTTCTGCTTCGTGTTGTGGCATGAGGTCAGGCTGGCCACATGACCACAGAAACATCTTCTGACAGCACTGGCTCAATGGCTTAAAGAAATGAAGATGAGTGCCACCCCCTAAAGTCAACTACGACTAGCAAAGTAAAACCCCAGGGCCTCCTTTATCTTTTTTTATCCACACAAAGTCTGCATTTATGGCAATCGACTCACAGATGGTGTAAACCGGTCTTCAATCCATTGAGTAAGTGGAGCCTTACCTTCATCTTTCCATATTGCAATATGAGTCTTTTAACTATAATGACACAGATAATCCACTTATGTCGTCCAATTCCATGTACAGGTATGTTATTCAAGAGAACATTATCTTCTGAAAATTTTAGCTTTTGTCACATTTATATAGTTCACTTTCTCTCAAAACTTGGTAAGTATAGGACATTGTAAAAAATGTGTTTTAGAGAAGCATTGTCCTTATTACATCTTCAACAAAATGCTGTTCTAGCATTTTTCTTTTTCTATACAAACGTAATGGAGTCCAATAAATTCTAAATATTTTTTTGTTGTATAAGTTGTAGGTTAAGGTCAATTGGCAGTTTAGATATAGAAGTTAATACACTCTCCCATTGTCCAGGGAATGCAGAAACTTCTAATTCTTTATTCCACTCATCTCTTAAAATCTGCATGTCAAAGTGATTTATTGATAACAAATAACTAAAAAAACTAATACATCAATTTTAGTTTTAGAAATTTAACTAGTTGTTCTAGTATCCTGGATGTCTTAGAAACTGAAAATGCTGCTGGTCCAAACAATGTTGTTAACAAAAGTTGTACTGTAAATATTGCCACTGAGCTATATCTGATAGATATTTGTCTATTATTAGAACTTATGTTTAATTTCATCCTAATGATCTATCAATTGATCAAGTCAATATTGCTGCTTTCATTCAATTTTTTTCATATCAGCATTTTTCCCCAATTTTTAATTTCTCCATAAAGTCAATTTTACATAGAAAAAATTTTTTTTACTCCATTCCATAACTTTCTAACTGATATATTTCCAGACATATTAGAGCTTGATTGTATTTAGATCCTAACACTGTCCATGCAGTCAAAGGTGCTATATGTGTGTATTCCAAAGTTGTTGAAATATTAACACCAATTGTTGGCTTTCAGTTTTGAATATTTGACAGTAGTTAAGTTTGATGATAGAGTTCCAGATTTGGAAAACCAAATCCTCTTATTGATAACTGCATTTTCTGTAAAGATATTCTCAGAATTGAAGAACCAAATCAACATTTTCCAAATAAAGAGTTTATTTTCTGAAGTGTTTTCCAGATGTTTGAACAGGAATTCCTCTCAGAATACTAATTAATCTGGAAATAATATTAATTTGCGAGCATTCACCTTTCCCAAAGAATGAAGTTTAATGACTCCCATTTATCCATGTCTGAAGAAACCTCTTTATATATTTTATTTACATTACATTACAAATACAGAACTGATATTCCTTGAATATATGGGTAACCAAAT